CACCAACATCTTCTGGAGAACGGGTGTAGGGATCTCACTGCTAGTGATGTTACTCGAATGCCTACAAACTCTTTCAGACCTTTCGATCCTGAGCTGCATACCTCTAATTAGCACCCACCACCAGTTCGACATATGTGCACTACTACTACAGGAGATGTACGAATGGTTATTTACTTCCTCGAGGCTCATGGTACGTCATTTGCCAGTAAACCTAACAGTATGCTCTCGCACTATCGGATTTTACTTAGCTGACTAATCTACAGATATCATCCTATAGGAAGCCGTTAAAGGCTTGGGTACAAGAAAATAATGGAGTATCTCGCATTCTTGATGTTAGCTAGAAAATTTGACTGCGCTCTTATCTTGCACTCTTAATCCCTTAGCTAGCAAATTGCATTAGTGGGCATTGTTTTCTCGGTGGGAAGGCTCGTATTCGTTCTTGCAGAAACTAGCTGAAAAAGCCAATTATTGGCATACATAATTGGGACTTTGAAAAGGTCCAAAAAACGCATACTTTGCAGTTAGATATGTTAAGTGACGGATGGGGTTAAATAAACCTGAGTAACAGATATGAGCTTTTTGCATTTCATCACTCAAATGTTTTGCTTTGAAGCGCTTCCGAGCGACCGCTTCGAGCTATCTGATCTCATTGGCCTTCAGTACATCTATGACTGCTATGTTCTATCAACTGAATTATTTTCGAGTGTTTCCGCTTTTTAAAAAGAGAGAAATATGAAAGGAGTTTTGATTTCTGGCCGCACCGATGTCACTTACTCATCTCATACCTGATCCCATTATTAAGGATACCAATGAATTTCCAAAGCAAATGCCCCATCTATCCGATCTCACATATGTTGTCGAGGGATATTCGTCCACTGCGCTGATCAATCTTTCCTCTACCAGCTCTGTCCATCGGCTCGATTTCTTATCTTGCCACTTCACCACTGACTTAAGGAATATAATCATTTTCTTTATTAAGTGCTTTGCAGTGCAATAAGTTTAGCCTAAGAGAATCAAACGGTCTAGAAGAGCAAACACAGAAACATATCTTTGCCGCGGTGCATTCTTATATTACTTGTGGAAAGCACATGAAAATGTAAGCGTGAAAAGGAAAGGTGTGTTACAGGTAGACATGCCTTCACTGGCGCCTTCGTCTAAGGGATCAAGACCTTGAGTCATCAGCTGGATAATGCCGTTTCGGAAGATCGCGCCGCTGTGCAGGATCGGGATCGACTGGCGACGGAGGGAGCTGGCACGCCTACGGCTGATTGCGACTGAATCGACGCGGCCTGTAATCGGCGCATATTCCTGATCTTCACGAGTCGCCGAATCCCGCCTCGTCGGCTGAAGCGCAGTCACGCCATCAACGTCATATCGAACTGCGCTAATTTTCTGCAACAGAAACTGTTGGTTTTATGTGGGAATCGCCAAGTAATAATTATCTCTCCATTTAATAATAGTTATTTGAAAACTACGATATCCTGAAATTTGTGTCTCCTACTTCACGCTTAATTCTGCGTTTCCCCTTTACTGTTTTGCATTTATAGGATTTTGGATCTAATTTTATTCATGTACGATTGTTAAGATATGAGTAGATTGAATGGTACCCGTTAGAAAGTAAACGAAAACTCAAACATCCTTCGAAGAGGTGCCTCACATACATTTAATACTGGGTAGGAACTACTGACAGCTGACGCAGCCCAGGATCGAAATTCCCGGCACAGCTGTGTTTGGAATGTGGGAGCATCACAGTAATATTACTAACACGCACTTATTGCCCTGTATTCGCCAGGGTAAATAATTTAAAATGGTGAAATCAGTCATTTTATACAAAGAACAAATAGATGAAATTTTCGGCTTATCAAAAGTCAAATTCTGCCCCCGTCTGCTTTCGAATCTCAAGGTTGTCCTTCTTTCTCATTTCTAAGATTTCCGGAAAATTGACAATTACCTTTAGCGCTGACACATCCTTAGCGACGTCCACTTCGTTTGGCTTACCGCCCAAGTAATATTTTACACAATCTTCGATTGCTTCGTTATATTTCATAAATATGCAATAGGAAATGTAGATGATGAAGAGGGCCAGCGCTTCGTACCACCGGATCTGAATTAAATGTACCATCAAACTCCAGTGACTCGATCATTTTGTTATCCTTCTCTAGTTTAAAGCTCAACTCGATGTCGAACTGTAGCTGCAGATTCTTGTGTACTATATGTGTGCTTTCAGATCAATAAAAAGTAAGAGCCTTTGTACCGGCTCCTCATGAAAGGCGGAGGCACTCGGAAATAGCTGGAAGGTAACAAATGCCAAAAGCAACCACGCACTGTCAAGACTGCTGATGGCTAAAAAAATAACAGTTGCTCAGCGCACCGACTGCTGGTGCGAAGATGCGTTTTTTGCGAGGATGTGTTTTTTGTCGCTAACGGCACCGGTTTTTCCTAAAGATGCTTCTAGCTAAACGAATTGAGGCTGGCCGTCAGGTCAGGAAACATTCCTTTAAAATTTCAGTTTTCTAGCTTTTATGTTTTCCCTGCCCGAAAAGAACTTTCCTGTGTTCGTAAATGGGAACTACGCATACCAGCTGTCTGCGTTTCAATTCATTAAGACCTGCGTGGGCAGGGGAAACTTCCTTAAAATTTCAGCTTTCTAGCTTTTCTCGTTCCCAAGTTAGCAGCTTGCCCGTCAAAAATTTTGACGAGGCCGTGCGTGGGAACCATGCGGGTAAAAGCGCCCATTTTGAAGATGGGCCCGTATATGCATGTAGATCAAGTTCCCAAAGTTTAAGCCCTGTAGCTCTTGTAGGTTTTAAGATGAAAAATCGATATAGACGAACACACAGACACACACATATAGATAACCCCTCGTCAATACGCGTTGTCTGCATTGCATAGATGCAAAAAACGCATAAAAATCGGCACAGACGCATATACAGACACACACAGACACTCCTCGACAGTATGCTTTTTTGCATTGCATAAATGCAAAAAACGCATGAAAATAGCAGAAGCGTACCTCCTCATCCAAAAAAAATATTACCAGCATAAATAGCGCAATGACGTAAAATGCTACGTCCCTGAAAAGAAAGTCGGCAAATATAACTTACATTACTCTACTCGCACACAGCCAGCGCTGGTTAGTCTTCGGCTTCCACTTCACCTTTTATATAGCGGCTGCGGGGCTGTACTGATGAACCCCTCCCAATTACTATCTGTGTTTACAGCTAGGCAAATAGATTTTGAAACATAATGGAATTTTTTACCAAAAAATTTCGGGTATTAAGATAGGCGAACCTGAACAAAGGCCACCAGGTCAAATGAAGAACACCGTGTGAGAATAAAGCACAGCATGAGAGAACGCAGAGTATGTTGAATGTTGCACTTCCTGAAATTCTTGCAAAAGTTCGACTAAATTATTTTAGTGATTTGCCGTATATCATTACTGTACTCGGTGTTAAATTATCCGCGAACTCTAATCCAGTTTTTGGTTGTTTTTTGTGCTTATTTGTGTGAACATGCGTTTATGTGTATGTGTTTGCATGTGTATTTTTGGGTATCTATGTGTGGCTTTGTGCGTCTGCGTTGTTTTTTGTGCGTGTTTGTATTTGTGTGTTGGTGTGTCTGCGCATTTTTCTGTGTGCACGATTGTACGTATGTGTGGTTGTGTTTTTTGTGTGTTTGTTTGTGTACATGTTCGTGCGTACGTGCGTTTGGGATTCTGTGGTGTTTTTTTGTGCATGTTTGTCTGCGCATGTTTGTTTGCGTGGGCATACATGTGTGCGCATTTATGTATATTTATTATACTTGGGTTTGTGTGTGTTTGTGTGTGTCGGTGTGTGTGTGTACATGCGTGTGTGTATTTATGCGCATGTATATATGTGTGTGCCCCAACCGTGCGTTTTTTTTTTGAGTGCTTCGCAAAACACACAATAAGGAAATATGCGCTAATTCACCTAAAAATTGCCGGTACCATACTTTGGCCCAACTATGGTTGTAAACTGAGGAAGTTTTGATTGGTAGCCCGTTCCGCTCTGAAAGAATGACAACAATTGTCTGAATTTGGACTTGAGCTTATAAATCAAAACAAGTCAATGTACAGATCAAATTGCTTTAAATTTCATTTTGAATTATTTCGCGTCGCAAAAATTGCAAGTCATTTTTGTGACTGTAACATCATCTCGAGTTTTGGATTGAAATAACACATTTCGTTAAAAAGTAACTTTCAAAGCTGTCCATCAAACACTAATTTATGATTTAAAATGCAAAGCTAAAACTCTGTGAGCTCGGCGGATTTTAGCCTAAAAACAAGGATAAGGACCCAGAAGAATGATTTCATGCCTATATTACAAAATTTTATTAATTTTTGACTTATTACTTGTGTGATTCCTGAACCGTATTATGAGAGGATGCAGGGGCGCATAAAAATGTTTTGATAAAATTCATTAAAAGCTCTGGCGTATTTTTGAATTTATGCTCAAAACTCATATGAGTAGATATAAATGAATAAAAATAAAGGAAGAGGAACATGAAAGAAGGTGCAGGAAATGAAGTGTCTGTATGTAATTTCCGGATTCATAAATTAGCTAGGGTGAAAATGTTTCGGTCCATTAAGTAGTATGCATCTTAAATAACGTGATTGTTTATAGGGAAAAACGTAGACAAGCGGAAGCAGAAAAAGTAAAGAAGACTAATGAAACAGCATTAACAAATAGAAAAGAACGCTACAGCGACGGGGTGACATTGATAAAGTGTGAAAAACCTCCAACTTACCAACAATAGTACCGATGCCAACGTTGTTTTCAGCGATGAAAACGCCTATAACGGATGTGAAGAATTCAGGAGCAGAGCCTCCGGCTGCCATAAATGTTGCTCCTGCAATTCACTTGCTCTTGGTATTCAGAACTGAAAATCCCTATCAAATGGCTACAGTTATTCTTACGATGGCTCCCCAACAGCCAAAATAACGAGATTTTGAAGTCCGTATTGGCTTTGAGCGGTTTCTCTGTCCGAACAAAACTCAGCCTCAACTTCAGTAAAGAATTTGGCAAATGATTTAGAAACTCATAACTGGATTTTTTAAATAAAAACTCATTTTAAATGCATCAATTTGACGAGCTCGTCACAGAATCAACTAGCGCTATTTTCATCGAGTCAAAATTGGTGCTCGAATCTTTTGCTCATTCGTCAGGCTTTTGTCACGCTAGTCAATTTCGTCAGCAACTTGCTTTCAAACATCGACATCTTTACTAGTAGGTGGTTGCTATTGGCAGTATGCAGTTCTTCGGCCTCTTTGGAGCGCTTCCCTCCCCTACAGAAGTTATGACTTTTTGCTATTTTGTCAGCTACCAAATGCCTAAACCTGACTTTTGACTACGCATTACTGCAGTGGGTAAATTGATTAGAAGAGGAACCCACCTGCAACATCATCACTTATGGACAACTTATCGGTGATAACGCCCAGTGATGGGACGAAGAATTCATCACATACAATGGCCAACGCAACAAACATATATATCAGGCCAATTATGTGTAAAATTACTGAAAGCATAAAAATTAGTGTTGACTGGTTTGACACAATGAGAATTAGCGACTGCTCTCCAGTAGAAGATCGAGGGTTCAGCAGATTCTCTGGGCCACCAATCCTTCTACAGTTCATTCATTCGTTTCGATGTAGTATGTCAGGGAGCCATACTCTACCATCAGCTTGCCTATAAGCAATCTCCGCAAGAGGGGGTTATCAACAGTCTTGCCAGCGGGTGATTGCTGTTGGCACTCGCCACTCCCAGAATACTTCCGAGTGCCTACGCCTGTTAGAAAAGACGAAAATGGATTTTGACAACGCTTAGGAAATGATAAACACAGAAATTTTGTGAAAAGTTATAGAAACAGCGCTTTGGCTGAATTCAAAGAATATCCTAGATCAAGGATCTCGTTCCATGTGCATCAAAATCTACCAGCTGTCTCGATGGCAAACAGGAATAAGCTTGATGAGGTTGAAGCTGATCAAGGTGTTAGTTGATAATTTTATTACTGGCATGTTTTTCATAGCAAAAAATCCTTGCTTTTGCAGAGACAACTGAAAAGATGCCAACCCAAACTTGTACAACGTTTTTGTACAAAGTTATGTGGATGCTGGCTAATTTCAGAACCCTCATAACAGCCTCGTGAGATTTGAATTAAATGTTTGTTCACTCCTATAAAAATTGTGAGGACGCAGTCTTCAGTAAGAAGCGCCTATCGCCCATCAACTCGATTTAAGGGATTTAACAACGATTATGGATCTGTTTTTTGTATTTCTGCTGATTAATCTGTATCTATATTCTGTAGTTCGTGCCGTTAGGTAGATGACGCAGCTTTGAAAACTTTTGACAAATTTGTATTAAAAGGAGTACTGTTAGTCTGTGGCTGTAATAGGAAGACAGTTCCTCATTCAGCAGCGATTTTTAGGACAAAAAATTCCTCAGCTATTCGTTCATCCGTTTTGGTTGTAAATTGGTACTGTAAATTGGCATATGCCAAAGAATCAAAGTTCATCAGCTTGTTTGTAAGCAACTCTTGAAAGAGGGAAACATCGACAATGAGTGCTTGCTTGCTGTTGGCATTTGCTACCATTCAGGCTACTTTCCAGGTGCCTCGGTCTTTCAAGAAATGCAGTGTGGAGTGGGTTTTGAGCAGGCAAATTTTTTAACATAGTCCAGCTCATGAAAAGTTGACTGCGTCATTCGTTTCATGGAAATTAAGGAACTTCCCTGGCCTTTTTTGGATAGATATTTTTGGGCAGAAAAAAGTTATTTCAACGTGCGACTGCTGCATGGCATAG